TCTTGTTATGCCCAATATAATTTCCTTCTATTTCTGTAACTGTTATCTGCAACTATTCTTATACTGATCTCTGTTTCATTCATGATTCTTATATGTGCATATTATGTGTGTATGCAAACACACACATACACACACACCTATTTTAGGTGAAAGAGAGGTTTGTAAAAAGGGTGTAGCATTACACACAGTTTTGTGAGGATGGGAGACTAGATAGCCAGAAAGAATGTCTAAATTGCACTGCAGGGCTGTCCTAGGGAAGACACTGCTGTCATCCTTGCAGAGCACAGCCACCAAAACTTTCACAACTGATGTCACACACTCCTCTCAAGTTGGATGCTGGCCCAAAATTGTTTCCTAAATTGCCTCTGAAGAATACATGTAGCTGCTCCAGCTGCATAAACCATCACCAAAAGAGTCTAAATGTTACCAAAAGAGTTTTTGATTCCAGTATGGGATAGGTTGTCTTGGCAGAAGCAGCCCAAGTAATGTTCCTATTTTTGTATTTTTATGCAAGTGTGTGTGGTGGCCAGGGGCGGAGGGGGGAGCTAGGAAAATATTTGCCTATTTTGGCTTCTGCATTTGGATTTAGGCTCTAGTTCAGAATGAGAAAATGCCCTCCCTACACAGAAGTGCTGAGTGATGAAGCCAAAATGAAAAAATGTCCACTGCAGAAGTCACTGATATACGGAAAGTTATGTAATCAACTGAGAGAAAACTGCTGCATTAAATGTCACATTTATGTTCATTAGGTTTTGAGTTTGTCTGGGTCCTTCAAAAAGCAGATGCCACATGACATTAGAAGTGCACACAATTAATGGAGGAAAATGCCTGTGAAGGAATTTAGGGTTGGAGAAAGCTGAGAGAGTATTCAGACATACACTTTTTTTAAAAAAATATATTTATTTTATAGTTGGATACAATACCTTTATTTCACCCATTCATTTTTTTAAAAATATATTTTTTAGTTGTAGGTGGACACAATTCCTTTATTTTATTTTTATGTGGTGCTGGGATTGAACTCAGTGCCTCATATGTGCTAGGCGAGCGCTCTACCACTGAGCCACAACCCCAGCCCCACCCATTCATTTTTTACGTGGTGCTGAGGATACTTTTGACACCGCTGTGAGAGGAAGGGAAGGAAAGAAGTTTCTTGACAAGTCTGTCCAGGAATCCTTAAGCCAAAGTTGCTTCAGAGGAGACCCACTTGTCCCAAGAATGAGCCAGGCTAACTCTCCCTGCTGAGGGACATGTCATTGGCTAGAAGTAGTTCACAAGAGGAATTTCCCTGACACAAATTGGTGATGGATTTCAGAGCACAACATCTGGAGCCATAAATAATTATGCTTCCTATATTAGTGGATCTGAGTCATGCATTTATTGGCCACTACAGGATTCACCATATATATTTATTGCAACTTTAATTAAAGATAAGCAATTTCTGTTATAATGGATTTTAAAAGAATATCCTAAAAACAAAATACTAAACAGTGGTGGGATTTCTTGGCAAAAACATGGAGTTACAGTGTTAATCCTTTCATTTTTTATTATTGTGGATCATGCAGTCTTTGGGTCACTTTTCAGATTTTGCCCGTTTTCTTCCTAAAATATCTGAATATGTGAGAAGGATCATTGTGTCACTAATGCAAAGGCAGAAAAGAAATCCTTAGTTCTGTTAGGGTAGCTGGTGCAAATATCCACAACAGACACATCTCTGAGTTTAAGCAAAGGTTTATTGACAGAGAATATCTGCCAGGCTGCCCTTCTGCAAGGCGCAGCAGCCTGCTGGGAAAAAAAAAAAAACTTATTAACAATATAGTCACGTACAATGGAGTAGTTAAAAAATAACCCATCTGGTCCTGTGATTGTTACTTAGCATGTTTGCTGTGGTTTCGGTAGTTTGTGGACCGGCCTAACAAGAAGGTCATGCCTGGGTGGTCAGGTGCTGATTTTCAAAATGGAATTACTTTGACTTAAAGACCTAAGAAGTTCCACAGATCCTTGCTCTCAGCATCAGGGTACACGGGCTGGACTGCTCTGCCCTGTGGATTAGGTCATGGCTTTTTAGGCTAGAATTGCTCATGCCCACCTCCAGAATCCACACTCTTGCTATTTGCCTTTGGTCACAAAATGTCTGCTTCACACTGACTCCCCTTTTCCTCTCAGAATCTGTTTATTCCTGAAAATCTTTCCCACGACAGGATCAGTTAGAAGGAAGTGTGCCTGGAACTCAGCCATCTAGCCCTAAGTAAGTCTTTCTTTTCCCAGCACAATCCTTGACAATTGCTCAGTTTAAGATCAATTTCAGACTACTTTATAAACCTATCACAAGAGAACACAAAAAACCTGGAATAGGGAAATGGAAAAACTAAACCTGCCAGTTCTATAGATGTAAAGATGTTATACAAATTAATAATTTAATTAACTAGTCAGAAATAGGAGTAACATGGGACCCAAATAAATGTCTCTCAGAAACACTTAGCTCAGAAGAAATCATTTGAACTAAATCTTTTTTTTTTAGAGAGATAATTTTAATATTTATTTTTTATTTTTCAGCAGACACAACATCTTTGTTTGTATGTGGTACTGAGGATGGAACCTGGGCCTCACGCAAGCCAGGCGAGCACACTACTGCTTGAGCCACATCCCCAGCCCTGAACTAAGTCTTAAAGATTGAATAGAGGGAAGGAAATAAGCTTAGCATTGCATTTGAATTTTTTATTTTTATTTATTTTTTAAAAATATTTTTATCTTTTAGTTGTAGTTGGACACAATACCTTTACTTTATTTATTTATATGTGGTGCTGAGTATCGAACCCAGGGCCTCGCAGGTGCTAAGCGAGCGCTTTACCACTGAGCCACAACCCCAGCCCTGCATTTGAATTTAAATGTCCTGGAGTCACCATTTTAATTTTACTTGCTTTATCTGTAAGGAGAAACATTAAATATGGGAATCTGAACGTTCCTAATAGAAGAAACATCACAATTCATTTGGTGATGGATTTATGTATAAGGTTAATTAACAAATTCCATTCCCTAAGCAAATGTATTCTGTAAATTAAATGAACCATTTGGTTGTTTTTCATTGCATGATATATTTTGAAGAGAATAAAAAGGAACCTTGTACCAAATAGCCCAGAAAGAGAATCTGATTAATCCTGGATATACCAAGAAATAGTTTGCTATTTTATCAACCAGGATTCTAGAAAGAAAGTAGTTGGAATATCTAAATCAAGATTTTTTTAGCAAAGGAGAAACAGGGGACTCTCATCCCAGAGGTTGTGATTCCGCCCACCTGCAGGAACAGGGGGCTTTTAAAGAGGTGATTCCAAGCCTACATTCCATGTGTTCTCTGTTGGAATTGCAATTCACTTGTTAATTTGGTAGGTACTCATTTCTGAGATCTTTTGGTGTCAACTCCAGGTCTGAATTACTTTGTTTCTATGGTGGGTGTGTACTCAAAGACAGATAACTCTGCCTAGGATGGGGAAGAAAGGTAATCCAGTTTCCTCTGAGATTATGGAGTGGGAGAGATCCGAGGGGAGAAAGGAGAGAGGAAGAGAAAGAAACATGCCCATTTAAAAAAATAAACTGTAGTGGCAGCGCAGCAAGAGCTATATTCAAAGCATAAAGTGGACTAGTGTTACAGTGTGATCATGAAAGACTGCATGTTCCATGCTAAGGAGTTTAGGTTTTCCTTATAAACAGTGAGGGAAACCAGTGTAAATTTTTAAGGAGAGAAAGAAATCAACAGCACTGGCTTAAAAGGAAAGATGTTGAAAACAAGATGAAGGAAATAAGTCTCCCGTCACTAAAAGTTCAAGAAGCAGGAGGATTTTTACAAAATGGTTATTGGAGGAGGTGGGATCTCAGAAATAATCTTATTTATTTATTATTTATTTTTATTTACTTAGTAAGAATTTGAGGCCACTTTAGGAAGATTGGAGAAATCAAAAAAGCACAGAAGGCTGTGCTTTGGCCACTAACAGTGCTTTTCACAGACTGGGGCCTGGCTTCTAGGTATCTCACTCCCTTGACTGCTTCTTCCCCAAGTAAACATTTAAAAGCTGTTGATTAAATCTCTAAAAAGCATAGCTATCTTGTCAGAGAAACCAAAAAAGTTAACTTGAAGAGTAGAAGAGGAAAATGGAAAGGGAAAAGCTGTAACTTTCCTGAAAGTGAGAGGCAGCATCTAATATCTTCTAATGTTGATATTTGGAAGAAAATGTGCTGATGAGAGAATTTATGACTAATGGAGTTCTGGACAGGTGAACAATGTCTTGCAGAGAAACATTTCTGGAGGTAGACAGATTCTAGGGAACAAAGCTAGAGCCCAGTTGTGATATTACTGAACCTTCAACAAAAGACTGCCTGGTAAGGGACGACTGAACACTTGCACAACTGAGGCAGGATCTTAAATGGAGAGAGATCAGATTTAAAAGAAAAATAACTTGTTTAAAAGATGGGGATGGAGGTACAAGTGAAGAGGTCTGCTAAGATCGTCAACATAAAACTGCCTGCCCCGCTTTGTCCAGAGGATAGCTTTACAGAGATCCTTTAATAAGTTTTTCAAACCCCTAAATTCCGGTAAACTTGGACGGGATGGTCCTTACCATCTTGAAGTTTGGACGTTTTATGCTTAATTTCTGCTCTTTTCAGCTAAACTTTTTAAGGAAAAAGCCTGGGTAATTAGAAAAACCTTAGAAAAACTGCAGAAAAAGAATACCGATATTTTACTTTCGCGCGGGTGGAGTGCGAAGGGGGTCTCAGGGCCGTGTCTGCAAGATCTGGGAGGTGGGAGGCCCTAAACCTACCCCTTGGCTTTGGAAAATCCCCAATAACCACACTGCCTTCGCGGGGGTGGGGCGGAGGTGGGGCGGGGGGGGGGGGGAAGCGGAGGCGGGGCCCGGAGTTCGGCCGCCCGGATCCCGCGGAGGGCGAGACCTGCGTGCTGCGACCACGTGACTCGCTCGCCTCCGGATACCTGCGCGTGCGCACTGCGTCCTCGACGAGGCGGAGGTGGCTCTGGTGGCGACTGTGTGGCTGTGAGGACTGAGTCGGTGGGAGTGCCATCTTCAGCTAGGTTGGCCCAGGTTTCGGCTCATGGCATCGAGTGGCATCCATCCTGAGGTCAGCCAAGACCTGCCTGTCGAAATTGGCGGGAGGAGGTGGGACTCTGATCAGGAAGGGGCCTGAGGTGCCTCAGGCCGCTCCGGGCCCGCGGCCTCTCTCTCCCGCCCTGTTTAAGGCCTGGCTTGGGCTTGGAGCCCAGTTGTTCATTCCTTTTTCCGTCCCACCTGTTGGGTGGAGCAGTGCGAGGTTTCTTTTCTTAGACTGCACGTTTTTCTTGAGAAGTGCGGTTAGTCTGGCGGGGAAGCGTGGGCCGCCTCCACTGGATTGAGGAAGAGATTTGGGGATAAGTCTGAACCCTCGCTTCCCCCAGCGTGGCTGGGAAGATGGGAGGGGGCTCTTTAGTGCCGCGGAGGATTAGGAGGGTGTAATACAACTTCTGTTAATAAAGCATTTGGGTGCCTTGGAGGGTGTGTTCCGCCTTCTAACTGGAGAAGCAACAGTTTTGGGGCCTTGGGTCACAGCACCCCAAAGATCAGCCAGAGATTTTGGGCTGTGTAGGATAGAAACAAAAACTAGGCACGGAAAATCCCAGTAGGATCTTGTAAAGGAATCTGAGTGTTTATACCTTTCGTAATCAGAGACCAGGAACTAGTGTTTTTCTCGCTCCAAAATCACATCTTGAAATTAATAAATAATGTTTGAAGTTAATGGTACTGTTAATGTATTGTTGATGATGTATTTTTTTCTTTTTTAAAAAATGTATTGTTGATGATTCTGTAATACCATATAATTTTATGTTACTTTTTAGTTTGGCATTCATGGGGTCTTCCGTATTTGAGGGCTCAGTATTTGGCAACTGATTTTAATCTGTTCAAAAAATACTTTAAAATTTACAGCTGGAAAGGGTGAAGTTTAAGAAAATGTCTCATCTGGGGGAAGTATGGAGCTTACATTGGAACTTAAGTGTTTTGGGCTCTGTGGCAGTTTTAAATGGATTGGAAAAACAAACAACCCAAGCAACTACTGACAGGTTTCCTCCTCCCTTCAGGTTTATAACCTCATTTTAAAGTTGAAAAAGTTGGAACTCCACTCTTCTCGTTGTAGGGATAAAGTGACAAAGAAGTTATACTAAAGACCACTGGTTTTTAGATTGTGAATTCTGAAATAATTAGGGGCTGACTAGAGAAGGATAATTGCAATGAGCATAAAAAAGCAGGATTTTTTTAGTCTCAGAATATTTGGTAATATATAGTTGAATATTTAAGATAAAGAATTTTGTAAGTCAAATGATAAAAATTGTGTGTCATTTTCAAGAGAAAGAACAGAATCTTCTGTGCTATGTTAATAGTTGTGGGTAAAACAGAACTTTTTTTCTTTTTTAATAGCCAAAGAAGGACGAAAGTAGTAGTTGTAGTCCAGTGATAATTTTTTCCCAAAGATTTGAGATGATGCAGATTTATATACAAGATCCAGTTTCTAGGATATATTAAGTGTTTAATATGTGGAAATCAGAAAGGTCAATCTGTGAACATTATACTTAGCCTCTAAAAATAGGTACTCAAACCAATGGTTATAGTAGCCCCCCCCTTTTTTTTTACAGCTGAAATCTAATTGGCTTATCTAAGGCTGAGGAAGAACTAATTTGTGGATTGCAAAGCTAGTTAGTTGATCTGCAGCACCCACACTCTTTTTTTTTTTTTTTTGGTAGTGGGGATTGAACTCAGGGGCACTCAACCACTGAGCCATATCCCCAGCCTTATTTTGTATTTTATTTAGAGACAGGGTCTACCTGAGTTGCTTAGTGCCTTGCTTCTGCTGAGGCTGGCTTTGAACTTATGATCCTCCTGTCTTAGCCTCCTGAGCCGCTAGGATTACAGATGTGTGCCATCCATCGCGCCCTGCAGTACCCACACTCTTGACTTGCACTTTTAGTAATGACTTTGGATTTTTATATATTCTGTTCATGAAAAAGAATAATCAGTGGCATAAGTTTTGATTACCGCTACAGGTGTAAGAGGCATACAGAGCGTAAAAAAATGAATTATATTAAATTAGATGTCTCATATTTCATCAAATGAGTGTTGGTTATTTAAGTTGTCTTCCCAAAGACCTTTTAAATTTTAAGATGGCATGCTAATTGTTAGGTGTTTAATGTATATCATAACTATACTAAAAGTTAAATGTGTGATTTTAGAACTGTATCTGTTCTGAGTATTTTATAATTTGTCATGTTTTCTTCTGTAGTTTATTATTTTATGCTTATGTGATTTTTGTGAGAAAGTATAATATAGTTTAAAAAAAGATATCAATTGATTTTTTGAGTTGAGAAAAGGAATTTTGTTAATCTGGAGAAATACATTTGCCAAGGCATGAAGAATGTTTAGGCATGAAGAATATAATGTGCTCTGGAAACAGCAGTAAGGAAGAATATTGTAGGTTTAATATGTTTGGAAAGTTAAGTTAGGAATGGATGTGTCACTTACTTGTTCAGAGAAATTGTGCTGTTACACACCAGGCACTATTGTAGGTTATAGAAACACAACAGTGAATAAATCAAGATTCCTTTCTCATTAACTTTAAATATTCTAGTAATATTTGTTTATCTGTAGCAGTAGTGTTTATAGTGTAGTAGTGTTTTTCTTTTTTTTTTTTTGACTGCAACCCATAAAAAGGATGTACATGTAACATTACAACTCTGTAATCAGTAGTTGAATTGTGCATTCAATATGCCCTTAATGTGTTTGTGTATTCTGATTTTGTCTACTATTTGTTTTTGCATTTACAATTAGAAACTGGTTTGATACAATCTGCAGCTTGAAAACAGCAGTCTGGAGGTGATATACAAACTACTTAAACCGACATATTAGTAGTATGAATGAAAAGAAGGGGTTAGTTAATTTTTATATCAAGGTATGTGTGATTATGTTGTGAATGAGGTTTAAAAGGATTAAATAACTTGTTCAGAATTCCTTAATAAGTAGGGAGGTTGGATCTTTAGTTCAGTTGTGTTGTCGTCTAGTGACCAAGCATTTTCCACTTTCTATTTGGTTATGAATGTAATAGGCCAGGTTTTAGTATGGGTAAGGACTCTGTTAATTGTCAGTTAATTGATAGTGTTCTAAGTCTCAAGGTGTACTATATCTGTATGTACTGGTAGACTTTGCCTTGACCCTGAAGAAATTTGTAATTTAGGAGAGAAGGTAAACATTGAACAAGTATCAAAATTGTGGTATGTGCTGTGGAGAAAAAGAATGCTGTGGGATTGTCACTAGGGACAACCTAACTTATTTGGGGAATGTGGAAACACTTTCAGGAAGTGATTTTTAAACTTTGCTCAGAAGAATGAATAGGCTTTAGTTAGTTGGAAGGCATTAAATGGTAATGTAAGAGTGGAATAGAGGGTTAGGAGAGCATTTCATGTAGAAGAACAGCTTACACTAAGGTCCCAAAACAGTGAAATGGGAGTGGGAGGGATGTTCCTACAGAATTTAGTAGAAAAGAGGCAAGAGTTGTTGTTGTTAGGATGGGGTTGAACCTTGGCTCTGTTCCTTCCAACTTATTTAAACTTGGACAAGTTGTTTTAACTTTAATAAATGTTAGTTTCTCCATCCTTAAAAGTGGGAAAATGGGATTTAACAAAATATATGATCAGTAAGTAGCATCTTTTAGTGTTATTATTGATAGCTGGTAATTGAAATTGTAGCAATACCTGCCTGATGACATGCCTTCATTCATTCATTCTTTCAAAAATAATGTGTCTTCTGTGTGCAAATCAATATACAGTAGTTGAATTTTGTGCATGTGTATATAATTGTGTTAAACTGTCATGAAACATTATGGTTTTTCCATGTCTTTATGCAAAAGCATTGTGATAAATTTTTATTCTCTTTTACATTTGAAAAAAAAACTGATCTAAAGCAATCTGCAGTTTGAAAGTTACTGATATAGTTGGGAGATAATGAATATGTGAATTATATCAATAATACTGTGAATAAAAAGGAGCCAGTTAATTCTTAAACCAGTTAATTCATAGTAGGGTCTACTAAATAAATTATTCACTATTTAGAATATAGAAAATGCTATGAATAAAAGTATAGCAAAGTGCTGCGAATGGGAATGGGTTACAACTTTAAATAATGTGATCCAAATAGAGTTTATTGAGAAGGTGACATTTCAGCAAAGTTTTAAAGGAGACGAGGAAGGCAGCTATGTTTGTTTGGGGAATTTTCTTTTTGTAGAGGGAACAGCCATGCAAAGCTCTAAGTCTGTAGAGTATGGACTTTGAGAGACAGCAAGATGTCAGTATGGCAGGAACTGAGAGAGTAAGAGTAGATGAGTCAAAGAGATATTATAGGGCAGTGGACCACTGAAGGATATTGACTATTTGTGAGATGGAGCAGTGGAGTGAGTCTGATTTACATTTTTTAAACATAACTAATTCTGCTATATTATTAATAGACTAAACACAGGGAGTTGGGGATGGAGGTGGAGCAAGAGAAAAAGGAGGCGGTCCATAGAACCTTATAGAAGACTATAATGGTATTCCAGCTGCTCTCAGCTGGAATAAAAAAGGATTATAAGAAATGGAATTCTAGGACATTTGAAAGATTCCCTAACAGATTGATTGGTGTGAGAAAAAGGCAAGGATGATTCCAAGATTTTTTGGTCTACACAGGGGGAAGGAGGACTTTTCAGTCATTGAAGTGGGTAGAGCAAATTTGGGGGGACAAATCAGGAAGAGACTTGGCATTTTAATATTTGAAATGACTTTATATATGTAGGCAGTTAGATATATGACTGGAGTTTGGAAAAGAGGCCTAGGCTGGAGATAAACATTTGAGGGTCAGCATATATTTAGTATCTTAAGCCTTGTGAGATTGGGAGTTGAGTTAAAAATGACCAAAGACTGAATCCTGGGGTACTCCAACATTAACAGGTTGAATAGAAGAGCACTCACTTCATCTCAGGAGATTGTCAATCAGTAGAAGAAGTGGTAGGGAGGTACAAGTAACATCAGGATATGGTATGATCTGGAAGCTAAGTGAAGAAAGTATATC